TCCAGGTCTTGATGTCTCACTCTTCCCTGAAGTCAGGACATCATCTCATGGACCTTTATTTTGGAAAAGCTTCAATGACAAAAATAAGCTGGAAATTATGTCTTGGGGAGAAGAAATTGGAACATCTCATTTGGAGAAAAAGAAAGGCAATGTGGCAGAGTGACTCCATGGCTCTAGAGTAAGCATGGCAAGTCCTTCAAGTGGCAGAGAACTGTGATGACCCCAGCCACCAACACCACCCAGGAAGGGCTATTGCTATGTCGGCTGGACTGGCACATGTAAATATGAGGCATAGGCATGTGTGTAGGCATGCATGAATCCACTGTTCACTTTGGGAATCATCCCAAAAGTCTCAGGAGAGGAAATAAGGCATCCTGAAGAGAGACCCCCTCAAATGGGAGATGATGGGATGGTATTTACATATCAAAAAGAAGGAAGCTAGACATACAAACTAACCTGAAGGGCAGTCAAAGTGGACCTGGGAATGGAATAAGTGTGCTTATCCTAAGTATCGGATGCACTCAGTGCTTACTTTCTAAATATATGTGTATGCATGCATGCACATGTGTGTGTTCCTTCTGCCTCAGTTTACAGCACTTTTTTAGCCTCAACAACACACGATGGACGTGAACACACCTGCAAAGTGTGACAGGATGGACACATACGAAATGCATTCTGCCCAATAAATTGCAAGCTCCTCTCAGGTTCAGACTGTACTTTTCCATTCTTAGGCTTCTCTAGGAATTTTTTGCAAGGTATTAGCCTTGTAATAGGCTTTTGATAAATACCTGTTGAGTAGCCACATTAAAGCGAGAATCTGCTTGGATGTAAAGAAGTATTTTTATTTTGTTTTCCTGGGTTTGTTTTTGTTGAATGCTTAAGCACAGAGCTGGGAACAGACCCAAGGGCATTGCAGACAAAGCTAGCTCTCTACTTATGAGCTACATGCCTAGCCCAAGAAGTATGTTTTAACTATTGAGATGATGAGACACTGGAGAAGCATTTCAGAAAGGTTATGGCACCTCCCCCAAAGAACATTGAGAAGACCAGAGGAATCCTCTGACACCTTCTTCCTGAATATGAAGACCAGTCAAGGATATCTGTTAAAACAGGGAGGTCCCCATGAAACCCTTACAGAATGCTGGAGACAGAGTCGGGTAGATGAGCCATAAGGAACAGGATTACCAAGTCCTACCATGGGTGGACAGGGCCTTTGGGAGCCTCTGAGACCACTTCCTCTCCTATCTCCAAATTTTCTTTCACTTTGGTTCCTCCAATTTTTCCACCATATCTTAATGATGGTCCAACCAATGTTTTTTTTTCCATTTGTTTCTTTGAAAATCACTATTAAGCCTTATATTGAGAGAATATTACATTTTTTTCAATTAACTTTCTGAAAACTTTCTCAGAGTCAATTCTGAGAAAGGTATTTGGAGATGAAGGAGAATGATGAGCTCGTGGGATGGGAGAGCCTCATGCCTCTAATCCCCATTTAGAGCCTGGTTCTGTAAGCATAGAGATTGGATCTTGTGTCCACCCAGCTTCCAGAGCCAGTTCTTCTGATGCCTGAACAGGGTTCTCCCAGGGTAGGCTGGAGACAAAAAGGTTTCCTCACCTGCCATGAGACCAGCCTCTCTGACACATCCTGTTCCCCAACAGAGACATTCACAGAGCACAAAGCAGTGACCTCCTTCCTGACTCGCTGCTCACAACTGGCATCTGTGTGTCACTGTGAGCCCATAAGTTCTCACCAGTGCCCAGGGCATGCGCCCTGTACTGTGACAGAGGAGTGCCTATAGGTACAGTGGCCAGGACCCCACACCAACCTTTCCTCCACTCATCCGCTTTCTATAGCTGTGGAGGCCACCACCCAGCATGAGGAAAGTGCTACCCATGGGCTACAGAGTACTGCTTTGGCATTTGTTAATATGGGGATTCCCTAGGAAGCCCCACCTTAATCTGGAGCTAGGCTGTAAATCCTGAGTGGATTTCCAGCCAGTGGAGGGAGAGGGGGCCTTAGTCTCTGTGTTCTAATTTCAGTGCTTGGTAGAGGCTCAAGTCCTACTTCTTGATAAGTACTAGAGTATCAGGGTCTCCCAAATAGCGGGGTTTCCCAATTCTCTGGTGCTAAAGTCAGTCCTGGGCTGGAGAGAGTTTAAAACTCCTTGGGTGATTCCAACAGATAAAAGGTCTGGAGTCCTCCAGGGCAGTCAGCCAAGGATTGGAATCTCTGCCATTCTGTGTGCCAGTGAGCAACTCCTTCTCTTCACTCTCTACTTTTCCATATTGCAAACAATGAATTATTCTAAAATTCTTGACTCTTCCTTTACTACTGTCAAGTAGGGAAAGCTTCTTCTTCTTCTTCTTCTTCTTCTTCTTCCTACCCACCACAACCCCTCAGAAGTAAATCCACTATCCTGGACTCTCCTCTGCCTTCAGATCCAGCTACTAGGTGTCCAGGACTTCCTTCTAGAGGGAAATCTCTGGAAATAGAGTGAGCCAACATGTGAATTCTCTCTCCTAACAATTATAGCTGAAGGGGCAAGGACCCCACAAACCCCTCCAGAAAAGGAGTGAATGGTGGAGCACGCACCCCAGGACACTCTTCTCCCCTCCCCGTTGTGCTCAGCAGGGACTGGGTAGGTCTTCCATTCCTTCCTACCTAGCTCCAAGAGCTTGTCCCTTCCCTCCAAGCACCTGACCACAGAATCTCCATACTGTGGTCTCTCTTTTGTGAATGCCGCTACTATTTCTTACACATTCCAGTAATTTAGCTCTTATACAGTATTGGTCATGAATGAAGTTTTTCTCAGCTCAGTGATATTAAAAGCCCAACAGGCTAAGTTTGCCCTGCTTTTTATATTAAGCTAACTCCCTCTGATCTTTCACCCAGAGAAGGTTCTCAGTAGCTGCTGGTTGATTTAAGGTATTCCCCATCTCTACCATTCACATTTGGGGAAGAAATCAGAGTTATCAATTGGCAAATGTTCCTGAATGACCTGCACTTCAATTCTGAAAGCTAGCTAGTTCTTCAGTTACCCAAGATGGGGTAGGAACCATTTTATGGCTATGACCAAGAAGACTTGCACACAAATATTTAAATATCAGTATCATCTATCTAATCTTGGGGGACAATTTCACATATCCTCAAGAATCATCCAGGACAGAGGCCTGGATTTGCTAAGGAAAGTGATCTGTATGCACAGTTTCAGCTCGCATAGATCCAGGTCCAGCATGCTGCCAGCATTTGCACATCCCACAAAGGGCATGTGAGATACAAAGTCAGCCCTCAACTCAAATCCATCCTCTTCCACATGTTAGCATCTATATTTGAACAAGTTCCTCAGATTGTGTGCATAAAGGGAATGTCAGCATTTCTCAAAAAGATTATTCTACAAACTAAATGAGTCACTGCAAGAAAACATTTTAAAATGGTGAGTGTAACAGCAAACTCTCAGCGAGTGTTAGCTGCCACTATGATTCGTAGTGGAGAAGCAGCCTGTGGAACTAGACTTTGTGACTTTAGACACATGGACCCCAAGATCTCCATTTCTCCAAGTATAGTATTAACAGATCAATAATGCCTGTCACGCCTATTTAACAGACTTGCAATGAGGTTCAGAAGAGCTAAGAGATATGAAAATGCTATAAAACTACAAAACCTGTAAGCTACACACATGCAGAGTTAGGGATAACATCTCCACCTGAATCTGTTTGATGGTACATAAATTATGTATACGAACAGCTACTTATTTTTATTTGTATCCTCCACTGGATTTGAGCTCTTTAAGGCAGAAACCATATCTTTCTCTCCCTCTCCCTCTTTGCATGTGCATGCATGCGTGTGTGTGTGTGTCAGTGGGAATTGAATTCAGGGCTTTGCACGTGCTAGGCAAGTGCTTCACCACAGTTGCAAACCTAGCTCCACACCTTTCTCTTGTCCAGCCTCTCATCTGTCCGTGGTGTTCATTTGATAAAATGGGAACTCGGAAGACTAAAAGCTCCTTGGCTTGTGTTTCTAGCATGCTCCAGCCTCTTGCTCCCCATTGGACTGTAAAAGTTACAAATGTGGCTTCCCAGAAGGTATTCCTGAGAGCAGCTTGTAAAAGAGGAGGTCCAGTTGCACAGCCAGCAGACACAGACTGTGGGAATGCCTGGCAGGCCAACCTACACAGAAACTTCCTGCCTTCTGACCTCTCTGCTCAGCCAGCAGCCTTCCCAGTCCTAGGCACCATTAAGAGATTCTATTTCTTATTAGGACACCCATCACGACTAGCTTATGTGTGCTTGACCATCCAAATCTGGGAAACTGAGAAACTGGACCCTTGCCATGTTCAAACACCTTAAGGCCTTGTTTTTCTTTTTCCCCACTCCTAAATCTGCCCACAGGGCAACTGTGGGTTATGTATCCCTGTTTGCAGTCTGTGTGTCTCCCCTGCCATGGGGATCTCAGCACATGTCATTTGCCTAATGGTGTCACCTACCTGTGCCCAAACAGAGGCAGCACAGAACAACAAACTCTGGACAAGGGAGTTAAGAGGATCTCAGAAACCACAATGAGCAGACTGGGCAGGAGTTAGATTGCCAAGGAGGAGGCAGCGACTATGTGATTGAAGCTGGATTTTTTCAGACCGCTGGCTGCCTTCACATTTCCTGGTGGAAGTGGGACAGGTCAACAGACAACCAAGGGTCACAGAGAGCTTTTACCCACACATGATTCACTTTTGGGAGCACTGGCTTGAAACTGAGTGGGGTGTGTGTGTGCGTGTGTTTGTGTGTGTGTGTGTGTGTGTGTGTGTCCCAACCCATGTGCCTTCCTCAGGTCTCAGAAGTCTCCAAACTTTCTTTGCATAGCTGATTACAACAGAGGATGTGGACAGTGGGGTTCTTCCTGTTTGATGTCACACTGTTACCCTTTAAAAGTCGGAGCGGGAAAAGGAGGGAATCTAGCTTAGGAGCCTCACTGCACCTATTTGCAAAGAAGAGGAAGAGACCAGGGAGGAAAGTCAGGTTTCAGACTCAACTTCAGCCACTTAAAGAGCACTGAGATGCTGGGGACCTGCCTTGGGCTCCTGGCCTGCACCGTGAGCTTAGTAGGAGCCTATCCTGATGCCTCCCCATTGCTCACCTCCAGCTGGGGTGGCCTGATCCATCTGTACACGGCCACAGCCAGAAACAGCTACCATCTGCAGATCCACAAAGATGGCCACATAGATGGTGCACCCTATCCGACCATCTACAGTGAGTAGGGGCTTTGGGCCTGGGAGAGGGATGCACCCCTGTGTTCACCTACAAGGAGGCTTGGGGCAGCCTTCTAGCTTCTTACCCAGGAAAAACACTTGCTGCACATGTGTGCATGTGCCTGCGTGTGGAAGTGCATGTTTGTGTGTGTGCTTTGGAAATTTTAGGGGAGTCTGATACTTCTCTATCTGCTATTTACTGGTTCCTCTCTATAGGAATGAGTTTATCAAAACTCTTTTCTCAGGACACGAGTCCCCTGCCCTTTTCTCTGTCGAAGGATTCAAAAAAAATCACACAGAAAGATGAGGAATTTAAAAAGGAAAAGAAACTAGATAGGTCCATAGACTTGAGTTTGAACTCATGAACTTTGAATGGGGTTAACTAGGGAAACTGAAGATTTCTGCATCATTCCAAGGACTGGAATAGGACTCAGGTTCTTTCCAACTCTTGAACTTCTAGTATTCTGATCTTATAAAAACCTGCCCAAAATGTATTAAAGACAGACCTTCCAGGTCTGTTGTCTCAGTAAACCTGAGTAGGTACCCGATCTATCAGTCCATGCAGCCATCGAATAGGCTGGCTGGGTGCTTGCAGAGATGTGCACTATAAGTTACTGATTCTATTCTGTGGAGCTGAAAGGGGTCTAATGGCAACATGAGACAACTGGGACAGTTTCAAAGACTAGGTTTGTGAAAAGTTGGATCAGAATGCACAACAGTGAATCAATTAGTTGCGATTCATATCAGGGCCCCTCCTGTGCACCTACATAAAGAATGATGAGGTAAGAGAGGAGAGGGATATTGAAAAGACAGAGTTTTCTATATTAGGAGGACATATAAAATTTATTCTAAGGGTACAGAAAAATATGAACTGATCGAATACAGTTCAGAAAGAAGGAAAGAGAGTCATCACAATCTTTAAGTAGCTGAGAAATTCTTATAGGAATTATGATTTCCCCTTTGTTGTTGCAATAAATCAGCTGAGTATTACTGATCATGTTTGCACTGATCTTGTTTTATACAAAGCATTCATTCTACTGGAAACCAAGGAATCCTAACCCTGACAACCAGATATTTATACATACAGAGTTCCATTTAATCCTTTTCAAGTACCCAGTGCATGTTCATTGGAGGTGACAGGGAGGAGGACAGCTCTCCCCGATACCAAACACGCTCCCAAACCCAGGGGACAAAGCAGGACGCAGATTCAGTGCACTCTTAGCAACAAGTGGGAGTTTAACAGAGAAAATCTGACATGAGTCTGGATCCCCTTCATGTATCCAGAGTGCTGCTCCTGGTGTTTGATTGTATTTTGATGACACAGTTCTTCAAAGACCTCAGTCTGTCGCTCCTTGTTACTCCCAAGCTCATTATCAGACTATTAGGGAACATAATTCTCCTCCTCTACCGAGGGCCACCCTGACTTTCACAGCAAGAGTCTGTTATTCAAAATGTGAGACAGTGGCTTAGGCTAAATGACTGATGCTGTTGATTCAAAGGGCTGCCTACGATTAGGGGGTAAGTACCCATAAAACTTGTCTAGAATCACTTAACCTCTCTGTTGAAAGAAACACTCCAAAGTCATGTCCTGCTGAACAGAAAGTAAAAGAAGTTCAGCCTGGTGGTGGTGAGGATGAGTCCGAGTCAGCCCTTCAAGAAGGCACCACAGGGCAGACCCTTTCCCTTAGAATCCTCCAGGCTTCAGGACCAGAGGACCCACCATACTAGCTGGAATGAGCAAATATGAGTAAGAGGGTGTAAAATGAACTGAGCTAACTTCAGATTGCATGTACGTGTGTGCGTGCGTGTGCGTGCGCACGCGTGTGTGGTTGTTTTTATCTGATATGTGTGTGTATTAGCTAAGCATTGTGATTCGGGGAAATTAACATCAACCCGGGGAGGATAACTAGTCAGAGCAGTGGAGCAGACTTTTCCTAGTTCAAATAAAGCCTTCTGTACTGTTCAATCAGTTAACATGTGTATTTTTATAGGAAAAAAGTGTTAAAAGTTACCAGAAAGAGGAAAGAAAAGAAAGAAAAGAAAAGAGAAAGGAAGGAAGAAAGAGAGAAAGGAAGGAAAGCTGGAGGGATGGAAGGAAGGAAGGAAAAAACGAGAAACTGCGGATTCATGTAGACAGCGCAACTTATTAAGTCTGGTGAAGGATTTGTAATGGCCTCACAGATGAATGGAAACTTACACCTTTCCACTGATGGGAAAGTATTAGTCTGTGACTTTTTTCCTCTTGTTAATTACACATTTCCCATGAAATCTGAATCTGAATGGTAATTTCATTTTTTTAGTAAACTTTTTTTTTAAGTAAATTCTTAAGAATTGAGTACCCACCTTCTTTCGGTAATTAGTCTTGACAGTGGATACCATGAAAACAATCTGCTTGTGAGATTCTCCATCTCTCCTCAGACTCAGGAGGCTACTGGGAGGGGACTGTCCAGGCCCCTGTGCTCATCCCTAGTCTGTGCTCCCACTCCCTAGTCTCCTCACGTTGGGTTTAGGGGAAATGTGAGGAAGGGGACATGTACCACCCCTGGTTACTATACCTTTATTTTATTTTATGGTGCTGAGGACTGAAACCAGGGCCCCATGTATCCTGGGCAAGTGCCTAGCACTGGACTACAGCCCCAGCCCACATTTAGTTAATATCTCCTCCTAGAGCCTGGTATTTTCCTGCCTCCCCCAACTTTCTTTACTTGAAGCTAAACTACTTCTGGCCCTTCAATGCTTTTTCATAAGGTTTCTTTCAAGGAGTTCTAAGCCTTTTATTTCTATAATCTTTTCTGTCATTTACTGGCAACAAGTATAGAATAGAGCAGATGATAATTTTCTTTTATAGCAGAAGTTAAAGGGAAGTGGCAAGCGTAGTAATGTAATTACTAGCACACAAAACTCCCTTTTTAGTGGATGAAATTATCTCACTACATTCTCAGAATGACTGTTATATTTGTTGTATTATTAGTCTTATTAGTATGTTTGTACTGCCTTCACTTTACATATGAAAACACCAAAGTAAAAAAAAAAACTGTAAATAACTGGTTCAAAGTTGCCCAAGGAGTATAAATGACCCAGAGGACATCTGGGCCCCAAATCTCATGTTCCTCCAAGGTCACATGCATGAGTCGACTCCAGGTCTGCAAAAAATCTTACCTGTTAAGCTTGCCCAGTTCCAAGGAGCTGGTGGATCAACAGCACAGGGATGTTCTTTCTTCCTTCTGCCAAATTCTCTCCTGGGATCTGTGTTTGCGAAGACCACAAGGACTACACTTACTAAACCCTTGCCCTTGGCTCTTTCCGACCTAACTCTGGAGCCTGTGCACTGCCCCCTGCCCTACTGCAGCTTCTCACTTACTCTCTGCTGCCCGTTTCCACTGGGACTGACCCTTGGAGACCAAGAGCCACAGTCCCTGTCCACAGTGACCCCAAGCCTCAAGCCAGCCCAAGATCAATTGTAAGCTTGGCACAAACCATGGATCAGCACACGTCACATTTCTCCAGTCACTTGTGCTAGCTTTGTGCTACAAGATAGTGATGCTGCAAAGGAGGCAGGCCACCTCTTATTATGATCACCTGGCAACTGAGGAAACTGAGGCTACAAAGTGAGTTACCTGAGACAAGGAGGTGTAAGTACCAGAGGTAAGACCTGTACCCTTGTTCTCTGTTGCCTGGCTCCTGGTCGAGGATCTGTCCCCCAATCCACAGGGCCACTGAAATGCAGTGGCCTCTGTCCAGCAGCCTTTTCAGCCTTTGATTTTGTCTTTTTGTACTTGTAACTATTTCTTCAGGGCAGAACCTGTAGTGTCCTAGAAGATGTCTCTGGCTGGAGTTTGAGTTCTGTTTATCATTTAAATAGAATGCTTCTAGACTACTAAAATAATAATAATTAACAAATATAACAGTTGTTCTGAGAATTTAAAAATTATAAAGTACTTAGAGGACAATGACTTAGAAAGTTATTAAATGTAATTTTCTCTCAACTGGACTGAGAATTTATCAGAACAAGTACTATTTTTTATACATTATGTATCTCCCAGGGTTTACCACAAAATTAGCCATATGTTCGAGACACATGGGCAGACAGTAGCTTGGAAAATTTTAATAATTGCTGTACCTCCCTGCCTCACCCTACTTCCCAGACAGTTCTCTCAAGTCAAACTTTAGCACACCTAACTTTTCTGCTAAGCCCTTTCTGTCTGTTCTCTTTTTCCTCTGCACATTCCCTTGGTCCCACATCATTCCGAATTTCGTTTACAGGGGGCTCTGTACTCAGTCGATGTCTTGCCTTTCCTACTTCCTTTCCACAGTGTTCTCTGTAGTGAGCTTGCATGGGATAGGAGAAGAGCCTTAATTTGCCCCTGGGGCTCTACCACCCGCCAGGCACAGATTTGGGCATTTACAGCCTCTCCAGCTTGGGCTTGGAATTCTGCCCAGATATCTTCCCCGGGGTTTGTGACATCAAATGAGATGAATGTGGAAATTCTACAGTGGGTGTCTTAGTTACTTTCTTTCTTTCTCATTGCTAGGACACAATATCTGATACCTACAAGTTAAAGGAGGAAACGTTTATTTTGGCTCACAGTTTGCAGAGGTTCCAGCCTACAGTCAGCTGGTTCCAAGGCAGGGTAGCACACAGAGGAAAAACAGCTCGCGACAGGGTAGGAAAGAAGCAGAATGGGATCAAGGGGTGAGGAGGGATACATACACTGCAGGCCACACTCACAGTGGCCCACCTCTCCTCAGCAGACCTCACCTCCCAACATCACACCCAACTAATCCACTGATGAGTATCACATACCCATGATCTAGTCACCTCCCCAAAGCCACACCTATGAGCTCACCAGGCTTTGGGGGAACATTTAGATATAAATCATAACAGTAGGCAGATGGAAATGACCCCAGAGACCTGAAGAAAGAATTTTGGACCAAAAAGGTCAGATTTGTGAAGTTTCATAAAGTATTGTTCTTATTCCACCACCATGTGGTTTGATTATAGCCTTACTATAAAACAGAAAGCACACTTACACTGCTGCCAGTTGTTTTGTTTTGTTTTCTGTGTGTATGTTTCTTTGTTTGTCTATTTGCTTTTGGTACCAGGAATCAAACTCAGGACTTTGCACTTTCCAGGCAGGTGTTGTACAACTGAGCTCTATCCCCGGCCCTTGCTACCAGTTATTTATAATGTAGGTAGTGTATAAGGGCTCCAGGTCCTCATTAGAGATGAGTATTTGAACGAGGACACTGAAAGACTATGAGGAACTGAAACAGGAAGGGTAACTCCAAGTGAGTAGATGACAGAGATTTAAACCCAAGGAGAAACTACTATCCATTATCATAGAAAGATACATGTAGCTCCACAAGGAAAGGCACAAACATGTAATCCTAGAACAAGGGAAAGACTACAAATTGTAGAAATGGTGCAGGCATCGTGGTGGGGGATTGTGAAGAAGAAACAACCAGTTCTGTTTAGGGAGATGAGAGAGGTCTTCACACAGTAATTCTGCATCTGGGGAGAGAAGAAGAACAACTCTAACACGGCAAAGAAAAGCTGTCTGTGTGGAAAATCAGACTCTAGACAAGCTAGATCTGTAAAAGATACCTTAACAGAGATTTTTAAAATCACAGGAACATGAAGCTTAGAAGTATATGAACGACACTGCAAACATTAAGAGGTATTAGCCAGAACCCAAGCATGGTGCCACATTTCAGTAATCCCAGCTACTCAGGAAACTGAAGCAGGAGGATCATAAGTTACAGGCCAGCCTGGGAAACTCTTAGGACCCTGTCTCAAAATAAAATTAAATTAATTAAATTTTTAAAAATCCTGGGAATGGAGCTCAGTGATAGGGTAGTTACCTAGCATGTGAGGCCCTGCCTTGTCCTCATTACAGAAGAAAAAAAAGAAGTCTTAGCCAGACAAAAGGAGAAATAAAGTCCAGATGGAGAGAAACACCTGAAACACAGGTGACAAAATTCCAGGAGTCAAAATGCCTGGTGCAGGAGCCTAATGCATATGTGTGTGTGTGTGTGTGTGTGTGTATGTGTGTGTGTGTGTGTTGGTGCAGAGGTCACAGGGAACAAGGGAACAAGTACAAAGGTATCAGGGGAAGTCATCACCACAGAGAGGTTCACAGAGGGGAGTCTTTGAGAAGAGGTTGGCCGAGGACCTGGACGTGAGCCAAGCTTTTGACACGAGCGGTGTTCCTTGCAGGTGCCCTGATGATCAGATCAGAAGATGCTGGGTTCGTCGTGATAACAGGGGTCACAAGCAGGAGATTCCTCTGCATGGATTTCAGAGGCAACATTTTTGGATCTGTGAGTTTGTTTCTGTATGGGATTCCATTTGCAATCATCTAATTTCTTTGACAGGTCACAGACTTTTCTAGCTTACAGCTCCCATTTGCAGTGCCCCTTGACAATATTTTCACTGGCCACTTCATTTAGTCCAAGGATGAAATGCCCATGTTTAAGCAGCTGTGGTTTGAACCTAGAGAACCTGGTGTCCAGTCTTCCCTGTCCACTGGTACCCAATTTTGCATCTAGTACCCAGGTGTACAGTCATAGGCCCTTTGGTCATGTAAATCCTTGCTGTAGCACACATTAGAAAGGGTTAGGGGCTATTGGTATCCTCTTGATCTGTTACCAACTATGACCCTGGGCAAATTTGCTCCCTTCTCCAAACTTCAGTGAAGTGAAATGAACCACAGGACTATGATGCTCCCTCCAGTTAATAAAGACCTCAGCTAACTGCCTATGCCCAGATGGTGATGCCAGTCCTTCAGATCTGTAAGCAAAGCATTTTTCAAACTGCACAGTCCAGAGAACTTTGACATAGGCAAATAAAAGCACTGGTTGTCCTCAGGGTCTCTTACCACCAAACATACCAACTAGAAATCTTTAGAGAAAAGAAAACTTTGCACTTAAATACCAGTATGTCCCAGCAGTGCAATAGTAGTATCTGGCCAAAGATAAATTGCTGACAAAGGCATCTAAGCCAACAAATAGTCCTAATCTGTAAAATACTCGATGGAGTTTGAGATTAAATGGAACAACACGCAAAAGCCCTAATAGATACATAAGGCACCCAGGACTAGTGGAAGAGTGAGGATTCAGACCCAGCTCATCTGCTGGAGTTCGTGTCCTGAATCCCAAACCACAGGACATCTCCACATGGAGACCTTCACTGATAGTTGACTCCATGAACTGCATGCCATATCCTTTCTCTAGGCAAAGAGATAGACAACAGACAGCTTTCAGTGAGAACAGAGCTGAACCAGGCAGACAGGGGGCAGGCAACGTTGCAAGTATGCTAGTTTCTGCCTCCAGAAGCCAGGTGCAGGCATGTCCCCTGAGAGCCAGTCAAGAGCCTGAGGCCCCAGAGGGTGTGACTTTCTGAAAGCCAGAAACACATTCCTGATTTTCCCCAGATGGTATATCTAGCTACTAGGGTGCCGTGGGAGTCCAACCCGGGCCCAAGCTGGGCATTTCTTAAGCACGCTGGCCTTCAGGCTGGGCAGCACTGGCCAGGAGGACTTGGGGCTGGGGTCACGCATGCCATGCTCACCCTCTGTACCCTACCCTCTTCCCAGCACCACTTCAATCCCCAAGACTGCCGATTCCAACACCGCACGCTGGAAAACGGTTACGACGTCTACCTCTCTCCCGAGCACCACTTTCTGATCAGCCTGGGCAGGACCAAGAAGTTCTTCCTGCCGGGCACCAACCCACCGCCCTACTCCCAGTTCCTGTCGCGCAGGAACGAGCTGCCCCTGGCCCGCTTCGTCACGCCCGGGCCGCGGCGACACACGCGCAGCGCGGAGGAGGACCAGGGCCGCGACCCGCTGAGCGTGCTCAAGCTTCGGCCCCGCGCCACGCCCGCGCCCGCCTCGTGCTCGCAGGAGCTGCCCAGCGCGGAGGACGCGGCCCAGGCCAGCGACCCCCTGGGCGTGCTGCGGGGCGCCAGGGTGCACGCGCACGGCGGGCCGCGCCCCGCGAGGTGCCGCCCGGGACCCGGGGCCAAGTAAGGGGCAGCTAACCCGTCTTCTCCGTGCCCACCTCTGCGAATTAGAACCCCAACAGGCACGCTAGGGACCGAAGGGAATTCCTCCTCTTGATCACGTTGGCGCACCCCGGGGAGTCCAGGCAGCGCTTCTGCAGCCTTTGCGATGGGCGCTCTGCACCCTGCTGGGTCCAAGGCTGCAGACACTAAAGCTAACCTGGGCACCTGGATGGAAAACACCCCTTTCAAGACTTCTGCCTTGAGCGTCTCTAGGGAACTATTAAAAAAGAAAGATAAAGACTGGTGGCCAAAACTTGACAAGGAGGCGGACTAGATCAGGAAGCTCTGCCTCTACGGGTGGCACCCTTTGCCTCTCTTACTTCTCTTTAGAGAGACCGAGAGGGGACTGATTTAGCGTAGCCTCGGCCCCACCCACCACCTCCCCTACCCTGCCCCCCCCCCCGTCTTTGGCTTTATTGAATTTGACCCAAGGAGCAGGTTTAGTATTGGCTGGTGAAAATTCACCTGCTAGGATTTGTTTTGCAAAGTGAAAGTGTAATTATCCTCTCCAAAGAACAACTAAGCTTCTCCTTGCCAAGGAATCAGGCGTTCTGCATGAGATCCAGAAAGCGATCTTGGGGCCTCGAGACACAGGCTGCTCTGGGTGAAGTTTCATGTTGTCTGAAAATTGTGTCCTTTTTCTAAGTGAAGCGTAAGGACTTGGGGACGGAGAAAAAGCTTGATAACCAGAGGTCTCAGGTGCAGGAGCAAAGAGAGAGACAGAGGCTATCGGATTAGCTAAAACACTCCGGGACACGTCTGGGTCTGAAAGCACTTGGAAATTCCCGGGCACTAGTGAACGCAGCGCTCAGTACTGGAGCCGCACTGCGGGAAAACGCAGCTTCCCTTGGGGAGGTGCTCGCCCAGCAGAAGCTCAGCAAGCTCATCTGCATACTCAGATTCTTCCTACAAGTGGCCCCATTCTCCTACCTTTAAATGACCCCCTGAAGTGACTCCCTTAAAAAGCAAAATCAATTCACACAACTTTTTTTTTTTTTTTTTGGTGGTATTGGGTGTTTAACTCAGAGCCTCGTGCATGCTAGGTAAGCGCCCTGCCACCAAACTACATCCCCAGTCCAATTCACACAACTTCTGCCCGCTTTTCACTTCCCTGCCATCCTGTGCCCAGACCTAGAAACTGATCCCTTCTCTTTGCTTATCACAAAAAGTTTGGACAACTGTTTTTACCTGATGATTTTAAACCAAACTCGAAGGACCAGTTCCTAAAACCACGAATAGCAGTATATGACCAAATGTTTTCTTTAATGGTTTTTACTTCCTGTTGGGGATATTGTGCCGTAGCTACTGGAGCCCCGCCCTACCCTTACTGATAGCGAGATGGAAAATTCCGGAAAGACTTTGATTAAAAAAAGCTGTTTGAAATTTCAGAAATTCAACATCACCATCAAGAGCTCTCTATCTGGTTAACAGCCTCTGCATTTTCTTGTGTCTGTGGCAATTTCTTGGGCCTGTGGCAATATTTATTTATTTATTTGGAAGGTTTTTGCCTAACACTCTGTATTTATAGATATTTATAAAATTTAATCTCACTTTTTTTCCTTCTCTTCAAAAAAATAAAAATAAAATTTATCTCAGCTTCCACTGTGTCCTTTCTGTACTTATTACATAAAACACACCAATTCATGGGATTTTGTAGGGAAAAACACCAAGAAAACCTGGAGAAAACAAAATTGAAAGGCTATCAGAATTTTTAAATATTTAAAGTTTTTTTTCTATTCATAAGCAGACTAAACAATTTTGATTAATCTAAACAGAACTGTTTGAAATTGTGACATTTTCCAATATTGCCTTTATGGCACTCTTAACTCTAAAATGTTTCCTTTTGAAGAGAGAATGATTTTATTTGAAAAATGCACACTGACACTGCAGTGGAAAGCAGAAGCACCAAAATGATACCCAGGATATGGAGGCAGATTTATTGATGTCAGTGATCAGGATCATTCCCAGAACATCAGCCCCTGACCCCTGGTGGTCTAGAGTTTACATGGGATGAGAAGGTGGAAGCACAGAGGCAGGATGGCTTGTGAATTGGAATGTGGTTTACACAGTGTGCATCGTACTACCAGCTATGCACCACAGTGATCAGCCGTTTCTAAGAGACAGGAGCAGCCGGAATTAGAACAGGAACTATAACCCGGGCAGTTAATAAACTGAAGCATATTGGCTGGGCTTGGGAAGACATTTTCTGCTACAGCACAACCACATCAAGACCTCAATGAACCAGAGACAACACTGTGCCAGTCATCTTTCTGTCCCTGTAACAAATACTGCATATGTTCAATTTATGAAGAAACATGGTTTCCTTTGGATCGCAGTTTTGGAGGTTCCAGCTGATGACCATTACTTTAGGTCTGTTGTTGGGGGCAGCACATCATGGTGGAAGTCTGTGATGAACCTCAGCCTATACTCCAATAATTCAAAACCAAGTAAGCCAGTTTTATCCAACCCTAATCAGACTAGCAACAAACTTTCTGTGTCTCTTGTTTCCCTGGTCCATCAAACCAATCAAAGTACTCAATTAGATTTACCAGAGATTCCTTGCATTCCTTCACTGGGAGTAAAAAAGACAATTTTGATTCCCACTGAAATTACCACTCCTGCCTTATCCCTGTGTGTGAACCTGTTAAAAATGAGCCTCTAAGCAATAAATTTTTCCCAGGATAGCTCACTTCATACAAGTACTGATAAATTAAATGACAAAGCTCTTACGGGATTGGTGGATATGAGAACTGATGTCACCTTATCTACCAATCATGGATGCCTACTTGGTTTTTTAGATCATCTTTGATAGGTTCAGGCTCCCCTCCATCACCAGAGCTACGTGATGTTGGCCATGATACACAGACAGGCATAGTAACATCACTTGTGCCCTCAGTTAACCAACAAAGTTGGGTTGATGATAAAGCCCATTGGTACTTCTATGCAAAAAAGGTTGGAGATCTTATTCACATCATTAAAAAAAAACAATGTGGTGGATTGAAGCCCACACAATTACAAGTAAGTTTAAAACTGTTGTGGGATATATTCAGTAAAACTGCTCCATTCCTTATTTATCATATTATAACCTATTTTAATCCCCCAAATTCATTGTCATTAGGTGATTTTAATGCAGATGCTCTGGTAAATCTGGCTTCTATTTTTAATAATTTGAGACAATCCCATAAATTTTTTCATCATATTTCCAAATCTCTATTAAAGACATTTCAAATTACCATAACATAAACTGGACAAATTGTGTTACCATATTATGCCTGTAAACTTATTTCTGGGCCTGTTCCTCAAGAGAGTTATAATCACAAGGGTTGTACAGCCAACCTATTATACCTAATGAATAATATATATATATGTATCCTCTTATAATGAGTTTAAATGTATTCATGCTTCTGTAGATGCCTTCCATGCTACCTGTCATTCAGATAAACAAACTAAGCATATTATATATCATTGAGTATTAACCTTTGCTAACTTAGGGATATCACTAACAATAAAACCTAATATTGGTCCTGCTTAAATTAGCAAACTTCTCAGTGTTTTCCTGATAACTGAAATATGAAGCACACTATAAGGATACCCCATAATCCCAAAGGTCAAGCAATAATTGAGCATACTCATTTTCAATTTTAAAAATCAATTAAACAAAAATAAAGGGGAATACAGGGTCAGAGAGCTCCTCAAATATATTTAGATTCTGCTACATACATTTTAAATCTTTTTCTGAACCCTACACCTGATCCTGATTTACTACCTGCCATGAGACACTAAGGACATGAATCTGACTATTCTCTAAACTGTAACTTGGTGCAACCTCTGAACAGGTGTTTGGAATGGTCCAATAGTACTTTTAAATTGGGGCTGAGAATATTCTCTTATTTCCATAGATTACTGGCAGACATTATGACCATAGGAGCTGTTGCATGGCCAGAATCTCGCCCACCAGAGTGACATGTCAAGTCGAGGGACAAACCTGATGGCACAGTATTCACTATTCTGGGAAGGCCTGCAGCAACGGTTCACGGGGCTTACTGTCTCTTTAACAGCCAGGGTTTGGTTCAATTACCAGATAATTTTTTCTTTACAATGTTTGCTACCCTAGAAGCTACTGTATGTATTCCTTCCGTTCAGGGAGAGGAGTACGAGGCTTAAATACCTAATCCACCTCTGCTCAAACCCCTAATTTGGATGGACAAGCCACCAGAAATGTTCCATTCTATAGAAAGCAAAAATCCTACATTTACTATTCAGCTAGGCCCTCATATTTTTATGAGTTCACAAGAACAAGCTAAACTAAATGTTACCTCTCACTTTGTATAGCCTCCTTTATGTGTAACCCACCTACAAGCATGATTCTAGCCCATGTGTGTCAACTATAGGTCAGATTTGAAAGATACAACTGTCTAAGGATGATTCGCCTTACTAACTTTAACTTCTATTCCCTCAGATGGTAACTTATTGGAGATTTTAAACCTAACGCTCCTGGCTGTGTTCCAGTAGCCTATACCTCTCATTTTTGAGAAAGGTTATTTGGGTTCTTGGCAGTCTTGCAGAGACCCAAACCATGGATGGGTTTCACACAAGTTTAATCGCTCTTTCCTAGATTGGTCCCCCAGATGATTCCTTATGGGAAAAGATTGAGATTGGTATGAAATTTTCTTTTCAGACTTTCCCAAAAATATGATGACCTCAGAAGCCTTATCTAATGTTACATGGTCAGATAGAGGCCTCAATTCTCCTATTTCTAAACTTATTATCAATGACAAGTCACACTTTATGGAAGTTAGCCTTACCTTTTCATGCTGGCATCTGCAGCCAGCATATGGAGGAAATGTCAAAATAGTATTGCAAGATCATAGGTATATAAGAGTAAGCATATGTGCTTATGATTCTCATGTACTATTGATAGGGAAGATAAAATAGCAACAAAATACATTCTTGTGTACTAATTGT